TGCCTGCCGCGCCCCGAGCAGAGGGACGCGGGCGACGCCTTCACCGACTCCTTCACGGACGGCTGCGCCCAGGGCGGGAGCCAGGGCAGTGGGGCCGAGGGCGCTGCCCAAGCGGGCCTGAAGCCCTGGGCACCCCTGAACGACTCGGAGGTGTACCTGGCATCCCTGGGTGAGTGCCTGGTCAGGGTCCGATTCCTGTTTGCTTCGGTGCCCGAGGGCAGCTGCAGCTCTGTGTGACATGGCTGAGGTGCCACCAAGGAACTGTTTATCGAGTACAAACCAAAGAATTTGGGGGGTTTTCCCTCTAAAATAAATGGGATAGGGACACCACTGGTTTTTCTCTGAAGACCAGGTAGTTCTACTCTAGCTGACAATGCATTCTGGACTCATTACAGAGCCTGTGTGGTTCTGTGTCACCAGTTTTTTAGCTCGCTCTTTTTATGGGATGTTGGGAGATGCTTCTGAGTGGAAAGGGAAAAGTGAAATTTATTTCTGTGACCTGTTTTCTGATTGGACAAGGAGGGACAGTTATAGGAAAGAAGGCTCTGATGCTTTCCCACCTGCTAGAGTCTGTATTTTAAGGTGACAGATCACACAGGTTGTCTTTGTGTGGTTGCTTCTCCTAACTCCTGCGTAACCTTTAACACCATAAATTGACTGTGAACAGTGTAACAGCTGATAGAGACACTGGATGGGAGGGCAGGTGAGGTTACTGGTACTGGAGCTGACATCCTAGCCCACCTAAAGTGCTGCACTCTTTAGCCCTAAGGCCATGGAGTTTGTCACCCTGTTTTAAGTCTTTCCTCCTCCCTTCAGAGGCCTCACTGTACAACAGTGTTCAGCCCCAGGACAGATGCTCCCGTTGCCTGGGAGGAGGAAGCTTTGGGCTTCCCCTGCTCTCCAGCACTTGGACTGCTGCTCCCTCCACTCACAGGAAAACTCTCTTCTTTTCCCCTTCCTTCCTTCCCTCCCTTGGAGCTGTGTCTCAGGCTGGTGTGTGACCTGTTTGCAGTGCAGCCACACGTGTGTCTTGGCACACACAGGAGGCTGCAGACAGAAGCAGCCCAGGAGGGATGGGTGGCAGAAGTGGCTTTTGAAGGTTTTATTTCTGCTGGAGCCTCCCTCTTGCCTTAGTTGCTGTTTTAGACTGTTGTTTCACAGCATACTAGGTAGAGCTCCTGGTATCAGATCAAGGGTGCCACAGAACAAGGCATCAGCTTCTTTTCTAGTATTAATTAGTGCTGTCAGTGGATTAACTTTTACAAGCAGGCTTCAGCCTCAGTCTGTGTTTTCTCAGAGCCAGGATGAAAGTGTAACACTAGCACAAAGCTTCTCTTGTCCATTCTGGCTAAGACAACAGAAATAAACCTGTTGTGCATTTGTACCTGGCCAGGATGGGTGGCTGAAAGCACAGCAGCAGCCTGGCTGTGTGTTCAGGCAGATGTGACAATTCAAAGCTGCTGAACAGGCAGAGGCTCTGGGTGACAGCTGGGTTCTGGGGCACCAGGCAGCTCCAGCAGGTGGGCACTGCCAACCACCCCAACCCAGCTGAAGGTGATGGGATTTTCCAATTTAAAAATGTGTTTATAAGTCAATAGCTGACCCACTTTAAGGAAGAAACCCTCCTAGTGGGACTTATGTGACCAGAGGAGTTAAATGGACTTTCCTGTAGCTTGATGTCTTGTCACTGGATTACCCCGTGTGCTTTTCATCATCCCCTGGGGTGAGGAACCCACAGTACCACATTCTGTTAGGAGACACCCAACCAATAATACTGCTGCACTGGCTTTTTTTTACCCCTATTTGGGCATTATTTGGGTTCATGCTGCAATTAGCAGGATTTGTATTTCATGCCAATTTGCATGGAAGTTGTGGGAACTCAATGCCTGTGGGATCTGAACCCCCCAGTGGGATTTCCTGGGAGTGAGTGTCAAAGTTCTGAGAGCTCAGACATGGGCAGAGCTGACTGGCTGCACAAACCTTATTTCTTTCAGAAGAATCACTTGAAAAATGTCACCTAAAAAACGACAGTCATGCAGACTTGGAATGCAAGGGGGAAAATTACTTTTAAAATATGACTTAGTCCTGAAAAGTTAATTTGGCTGTCTTGACAGAGCAGCACAGAGACTTCTCTTCTTCCCTTTGAGACAAACATGAAGGTCAGGCAGCCCCCTCCTTTGTCTCTTCACAGAGAGAAGACTGATGAGGATCAAAGGGCTGTCCCAGGAGGTGACCTCCAAGGACATGCTGCACACCCTCGCCCAGGCCAAGAGGGAGTGCTGGGACAGGTTCCTGCAGGAGAAGTTTGACTCCGAGCTCTACCTAGAGGGCCACGAGGCTGATGAGAGGTAATCAGCAGGTCGATGGGGAGGGGACACCTCTTACCCTGGGGGCAGACAGGTTTCACTGCTTCAGAGCTAAAACTGGGCTTTGTCAGGACTTGTGACAGGGCACTGGGAGGAAAATAACATCTCCTGGGAGCCTGGTGAGGCTGCCACAGGCTGGGACACCTGGACAGTGACTGTTGGCACCCAGGGGAGCACGCAGAGTGTGCAGGGTGTGAACTTCCAGTGCTGAGCTCCAAACTTGGCATCCCTCAGACTGGGCTGCTCCAGCGTGGGGACAGCTGGAACCCACTCCCCAGTGTCCCTGTCACGTGTGGGGGAGGTGAGGAGGGGATGGCTGATCTGTCTCAGATTGCCTGTGTTTTAAGGCTCAGGTTCAGAAGCAGACCCCAGGCCATTCCCTGCATAGTTGAAGTTAAGTGCTGGTTCAGACACAAGTGGGAGTGAAGCTCTTCATCCCCACCCTGAGATCAGCTCTCCAGTGTCTCTCCCTTCCCTGCCTCTGGCAGTGCTGCTGCTCAGCAGCCCCTCTCACAGGCAGAGCCCTTTCCTTCAGCAGTCTCCCCAGCACTCTGTTCCCTTTTTCTGAGCTGACATTTTTCATGACTGCTTCTGACTGAAAAGAAGATTATTCTTTCCCTTGAAGAACATCTACTTAAGCTAGTTTAGGAGTTTAAGTGTGAAAAATAATCCATGTTAATAAGAAGTTTTTAGATTTTTCTCTTTGACCAGTCCACTTCAATGTGATTTATATTTAAAAACAAGCCTCTGTGGATGTATGTGCTCTTTCTACTGTTTTTAAAAGCTGGGGATGTTACCTATGGAAGAATTTCCCCCCCCTAGAATTTACCTGTAAAGTTCAAGGTCACTCCTGCACAGTGCTGAAATATTTGATTCTCACCCACCAACGTAATTAAACAAGCCTTAACTTCTAAGCACACAGATAATTTCAAGGACATTACCAAGTGAAGTTCTGCTCTTGTGAAAGAGCAAGAGCAGATTGTGCTGTGGTGCTCTTGAGGGACTTAAATCATGTTTGTGGAAGATGAGCACACACAGACAGTTAGGAATTACAATATTAAACTTCTAGAATTACAGCCAGTATTTAAAAAAAGGTAGAGTAGATCTGTTCTGGTGGGACCAGTTATTGAGGGAGGTGCTGTAAGACACTAATTATGCCAGTCTGTATTTCTAAACATCCCTAAAATCCATGGGGTGGTTGGCATTCTGCAGTGCACCTAGAGCCTTTTTCAGCTGCCATCTGCTGGTGTTGTGAGTGGTCACACACTTTTGGCTTTATTCCCCTCCCTGCCCCCTCTGTTTCCTAATCTTCATCACAACTAGGCAGTCGTGGGGTTGGTTTCTTTTGCACTATTTTTGTTGCTTCCAGCCTGGGGAGCTGGCAGTGGGATTGTCTGTGCCCCAGCCTCGTGCTGCAGGAGGGCACGGCTGAGGTACCTGCTATGGATTCTCCTCACTGAGAGCAGAACTTTCCTAGCCATGGCTTAAAGAGCCCAGCTAGAGCAGTGTCTGTGCAGAGTGAGGACTCCCCTGGCTCCTCGGAGGTGGGGCAGTCTCAGGGCAGAGCTCACCTGGGGCAGCAGCACACGGAGCCCAGGAGGATTCCCCGGCGCGGTCGTCGGGCGGGTCGCTGCTCCCTCCTCTCACTGTCTCTGCTCTCCCTCAGCACCCTGGAGCACCTGCGGCGGTGGCTGCAGCCCGACAGGGTGGCCATCAGCAGCGAGGAGCTGCAGTGCCTCCTGCCCCCCGAGCCCCAGCCAGAGGGGCTGCAGAGCCAGCAGGAGCCCCCGCCCGCCGAGCAGTGAGACGCCCGCCCCGCCACGAGCTGCCTCCTGTCCCAGAGAGGGAGGAGTTCTGCCCAGTAACAGTGACAACAGGGGAGGGAGGGGGGAAAATGTCAGTTATCAATCATTTAAGAAAAAAAAAAAACACCAGAGAAGACCCTCCCAGCTCTGGTACTCCAGGGACAGCAACTGGCATTGTTCCGGACCAGAGCAGCACGCCTGTGACACTGGACTGAGAGCTTTGGTCTTCTCCCAGCCTGCAGCAACCTGATCATTCCAGTCTGGACTGTGTGTAATTCATCAGGAGACACACTGGACAGCAGAAGCAGTTATTCAGACACGTCAGAAAACATGGTCTAGAGCAGAATGTATAAAACCACTGAATCAGGGTTTTTTTTCCCCTGTTTTGTACCCTTTTTATTACTTAGTTGGGCATTTTTTTTTCTTTCCTGCAAAGTCCTCTGAGGCATTTTCTGTAGCTCTTCACTAGTTCAGCTTTAGCTGTGGCTGCAGAAGACATTTCTCACCTGTGTGACTCTGGAACCCCTAAAGGACACTGTCACCACACTCATTAAATTGATGGTGTCAGCACGGTAGCTGTTTAACATTCCTCTCCATGTAACAAACCCTCCTACAACATCTCACTTCAGTGGCCAAACTCTCCATTAGAGATAGACTGGAGGGGTGGGAATCTTTTTGTTTGGTTGGTCATTCTGTACCTGCTCTCTGGCCTTTCCAAAAAAGGGTCAGCTGAGAGTGTGTATGAGGAAACCACGAGGGCTAACCAGGGAGGCAACGAATAACTTGGTTTTGTCACAGGCTTGTGAAAGATTACCTGACTTTAAGTGTGTTCTGGTATTTAATTGGTGTCCACCCTGTTTAACACTGAAGATTTCCCATGACTCATGGAAGAAGCTGTGGTCCTGCACTGGAGGAGGCTGATGTCCCTCTGGCATGGGCTGCCTGCCTGGCACGGCCACGGGAGGTCAGTGGAGGGAACCAGCACCCATCTGCCCATGGGCACAGCTCCCCCAGGCACAGCTCCCCAGGCACAGCTCCCCCAGGCACAGCTCCCCCAGGCAGAGGTGTAGGGCTGCTTCCAGTAGTCCCTGCACGCTGGATTCATATGTTCATAATGTATCTGTATGAAAATACATTTTTTTTTTTAAAGTAGCTCCTTGTTCCCTGTCCCTACAGTTACAAACGATGCTGTGAGCTCATCCCCCTGCTCCTCTCAGTGCTGCTCCCTCAGTGATTGTTTCCTCCATCAGCACCATCAGTGTAACCACCCACCCCAGGCTCACCCCTCACAGCAAAGTCACCCTCAGGATTCTCCATTAGAACAAACGAATTTTTTTAAGACTTGAGACATGTGGTGAATCACCTGAACATCACTGCTGGGGCTCACAAGTCTCCTGTCTTGCAGGGTGGTTTTTGTCAGCTTTTAATCATCCCTTTTAATTTACCTCCCCAAAGAAGTCTGCTTTCCTGTGCAGATGCTGTGCTGTAAAGCTCTCACCTGTGGCATCAGCCCACAGGAAAGATGTTCTGAGTATTGGCCAGTGGTGGTGGCTCCTCTGCCTGTGCTGTCTCATAGGCAATATGTTTCCTTCATTAGCTTCACTGACTGGTGCTTGACATTTTCTTGTCCATTCCTGTTAAAGCCACCCAAGAAAAACGTACTCAATATAACTGAATAAATAAAACTGAATAAAAACTGAATAAAATAACTGAAACCCTTAGCACAGAACCTGCTGTTTCCTCTAGAGACAGGACCTCAGACTGAGCAGCTCTCAATGTTCCATATTTAAAGATGAAGCCCAAGGAAAGGGTCTGGGGAGAGCTGTCCAAGCACAGGATTAGCCAAGGTCTCTGCATTCCCATCGATGCTGTGCCAAGAGCTGCACAGCTCTGCTGGGTACTTACCTGCCTGGACAGGTGATGGGGGGTTAACCACCTGCCTCGGTCTGCCCAAAACACCAGCTCTGGGAGCTGCTTCTGCAGGAAGAGCTGTTTAAACACCTCAGGGGAGAACGGCTCCGTTAGCAAAGGGCTGGGGGCAGGACGGGCAGGAGGGAGTCCTGCTGCTGGGCACAGGGACAGGCACAGAGAATCCA